GCATGTGCCACTACGCCCAGCTAATTTTGTATTTTTAGTGGAGACAGGGTTCTCCATGTTGGTCAGGCTGGTCTCGAACTGCCAACCTCAGCTGATCCGCCTGCCTTGGCCTCCCAAAGTGCTGAGATTACAGGCATAAGCCACCGCGCCCGGCATTGTTTTTGAGGTGGAGTCTGGCTGGAGTGCAATGGCGTGATCTCGGCTCACTGCAACATCCCGGGTTCAAGTGATTCTCCCGCCTCAGCCTCCAAAGTAGCTGGGATTACAGGCGCCCATCACCACATCCGGCTAATTTTTAGTAGAGATAGGAATTCACCAGTTGGCCAGGCTGGTCTTGAACTCCTGACTTCAAGTGAGCTGCCCTCCTTGGCCTCCCAAAGTGTTGATATTACAGGTGTGAGCCACCATGCGCAACCCCGTTGCAGGTTATACTCATGCATTGGCGAACAGTTACTGCTTACTCAGGTATCCATGACAATGTTCCCTGGATTTGTGTGATTGACTATACCCAACACAAAGACACCAAGCATAGTGACCTCATTTCTTAATCTTCCCTATATACCTAGGAAAGTGCTAATAAGCTTTCCTAGAATTCATCATTCCTTTATCTGTACACTTCACTGTACTTTGCTTATAAATTCAAATACGGCACATCAGAACACGCCTTGCCGTGTAACTATGAGTCCATGCTGGTCTTATCACTAGAACAGTGTGGTGCCCTAAAGGTATAGCATTAGCCCTACAGAGCATTTTAGGGCATGTGGAGGTTTTTCTTAACTGTCACAATGACTGGAAGGCATTACTGGCACTTAATGGGCAGAAGACGGGAAATTCAGATGACCCGCAATGCTGAGACTGTCCTGTATGTCAAAGCACTGTCTCTAGTGGGAGCCAGGGCTCTCAGTATGAAAGACGGGAGATACAAATACGGACTGGAGCAAGGCAAGAAGAATCCCATGGGGATGAACTTGGGATTGGTATGAACTCATTATTTGCAAAATATATATAGTATGTGTACATGCATATGTGTACATGTATGTATTTATGTGTATGTGCATTCATATTTTTCCAAAATCTGTCCATTGAATGGGGCAAGAAGCAAATATTTCACAGTAGCAAAAGGACATCTGGCACCTAGATCTTGTTTTCTAATGTCATTCCTCACCAAAAGTAAGCAGAGCTCCTTGGAAAAATGGTTGTTTCCAGGGCTAGGCTAGAAAAGGTGCAAAATGACCCTGAAACACCTTGTTATATGAGAGAAAGTAAGTTATCAAAAAAGAAGGGAGTCGGGGGAAATGGAAGTCAGCTTGAAAGGGCTTCTATCAGCCAAGTATGGGATAATTAGACCACCAAAATAACTGAGGAGGGTAATGAATCATTAAAAAAACTCTCAAATAGATAATTTAAACATAATGCATGATAATAAACAGATGAGAAAGAAATGAGAGAAAATGAAGGGTTCTTGCTTATAGTAGATACTGAGTGTTAGCCAGTAAATCTGGAGAAATTTTCAGAGTTGGAAAATCATTACTTTGCAGCCATCATAGTAAAGATTGATTCAGGCTAAAGCCATGAATTGATGCTAAATATAAGAGCAAACTTTTGATAAGCAACAGCTCTTTGCATTGTACTAAAGTGTCTCCCCATGAATATCCTATTACTCAAAAGGGAGAAAACCAGTCTGATTTCTACAGTGGAGAAATCAGACACAGTTGACTCGGTGATCAAAGTTAATATGACCAGCGAAGGCATATGGTATCAGGTATGTCCACACGTGATACCCTGGCGGGGGCACAACATCACTGAGAGTATTCTGGCTGGGGAAGCATCACAACAATGAGAAAATAGCAGAAAAATCCAAAAGAGGAATATTCTATAAAAAAAAAAAAAGAGAGAAAGAGATTGAATTCTTTAAAAATATATAGGACAATGTTGTAAGAAACAAAGAAAGGATAAGGAACAATTTCAGATTAAGGAAGATTAGACAGACCTGACAACTAAATGTACTAGATGATCCTAGACAGCATCCTGTACTGGAGGAGGAAAAATGCTATCAGAGACATTATTGAGTCAATTTCCAAAACTGGGATATGAATAGTAAAGTATTATATTAATGTCAAAACTTCTGAAGTGGTAAATGTGCCATTATGTAACAGAATAGCCTTATCTCAGGTAATGTACAATGAAGTATTCAGGATAAAGAGCTATATATACTATATGCAACAAATGCCCAAATGATTAAAGAAAGTACGTATACAGGGGGACGAAGGAAAGAGAAAGCAAAAACGAATGAATCAAAATGGTAACAACAGGTGGACATGAGTAAAAGTAGTGCTATGGTTTCAATATTTGTCTCCACTGACACTCATGTTGAAATTTAATCCCCAGTCTAACAGTATTGATAGGCCAGTGGATCATGAGGGCTCTGCTCTATGAATGAATTAATCCATTCATGGACTAATGGGTTAATGGATTAATGGATTATCATAGAAGTGGGACTGGTGGTTTTGTAAGAGGAAGAGAGACCTGAGCTAGCATGCTCAGCCCCCTTGCCATGTGATGCCCTGAGCCACCTCAGGACTCTGCAGAGTCCTCACCAGCAGGAAGGCTCTCACCAGATGCCACCTCTCAACGTTGGCCTTCTCAGCCTCTCTAACTGTACAAAATAAATTCCTTTTCTTAATAAATGACCCAGTTTCAGGTATTCTGTTATAAAGGACAGAAAACACACAGGTATAGAGGAGTTATTTGCAGTTTTTGTAAGTTTAAAATTATTTCCCACCAGGTGCAGTGGCTCAAGCCTGTAATCCCAGTACTTTGAGGGGGCTAAGGTGGGCAGATCACCTGAGGCCAGGACCAGCCTGGCCAATAGGCAAAACCCCATCTCTATTAAAAATACAAAAATTAGCTGGGCATGGTGACACGCACCTGTAATCCTAGCTATTTGGGAGGCAGAGGCAAGAGAATCACTTGAACCCAGGAGGTGGATGGAGGCTGCAGTGAACTGAGATCATGCCACTGCACTCTAGACTGGGTGACAGAGCAGACTCTGTCTTAAAAAAAAAAAAAAAAAAAAAAAGTTTCTAAATAAAAAGATAAATTTGCCATGCCATTTATGACATAACAATCACACCACCAAAAAAACAACCGTTTATAAGTAATGGAACTCCATTCTTTCATATAAGCAAAGTATTCTTTTCTTATGGAAAATAAACTGAATTTTCTGTAAATGCAACTCCATCTTGAGGGAAGACAGACCTTTGAATGAATCAGAATTTTACTAAGAGTTTTTCATTTTAAAAATAAAATTATGTCATTATGATATTGCTACTCCTGGTATTTGAATTCACCAGTATACCACATCCGGACCCATCTAGATTTCTTCCATGTCTACAGTGATTCCACATTTATATGCAATTTTGACTAACTTCATTGTTGCTTACTGTAGTGTTGCTTAGGCATTTGTTTACACACTGAAATACATACTATTTAAGTTACTTCTCTTTTGTTTCTCCTCTGTATCATGGTGAAGGAGTTATATTGATTTTTAAAGCTATGAATTTAGTTTCAAGATGGTAGAGGAAGAGTATGATAAAGTATTTGTTACAAGAAGGCTAACTAGGGTCTCTTGCAGAGAGAATGAAACTGTAAGTTTCTCCCAGAGAAGCTATGATTACTTATTTCAGATCTTCCACATCTTTGCTTTAGCTGGCCTGTGCACATACACCCACTCCAAGCTCACAAGTTCTGCTTGTGCAGTCACGTCATCAGGAAAGAGAAGGGTGAGATCTCTGAAAACCCCAATAAGGTGACCATTAGAGACAGCAATGTCTCCTGCACTTATGGGAAAAATTCATCAACACAGGAGACTTTATTCTTATGTGACACAAGCCCAAAAAACAGTAAAAGAAATCTGGGGGAATATATTAGATCAGCATTGGAATTGATCCAAAAATTACATCAGTCTCATAAAACTATCACCAATCTATTTACTTTATTAACGTTCTGATGATGTTATATGTACCAAAGGGCAAGCAGAACCAAAAGTCTAAAATATGTACATCTTTAAAAACTGTGCACTGAGTCAGTGATTTCTTTTACGGCTTGGTATTCTATAAAAGAAAGGCTGTTGTCTGTGTAATATATCATAGGGAACGGGAGAAAAGAAAGTATAATTACAAGCCCAAAGCCTGGGAAGAAGTTAATCAACTATCTTCCCTAAACAGCTTACATGAGATTGTGACATCGCTTTCAAACCTGTCACCTGGCAATGAAATAGAGACGAGTCAAAAAGGGCTCTGAAGACCACAAGAGGAGTTAAGAAAATGAAGAGATTGATAATAAGTCAGAATGAAATATGAAATACGAAATTCTGTAAAACAGGCTGAATGAAAACCATTTGGTGAAAATGGACAAAAAAAAAAAAGAACTGTTTACACAGTCTAATAAGGAGACTAATCATGGAGGCAAAAAATGAAATATTAGAAATAAACAGGATAAAAATGATTTTGCCATGTATAAAAGTCTAACTCTTTAAGACTTAAAATGTGCTTATTTGAATTGAATCACCGTAAAAGCAAAATTTCATATATGTATAATATACATAAATAGGACGGGCACGGTGGCTCAAGCCTGTAATCCCAGCACTTCGGGAGGCCGAGGCGGGTGGATCACGAGGTCAAGAGATGGAGACCATCCTGGTCAATATGGTGAAACCCTGTCTCTACTAAAAATACAAAAATATTAGCTGGGCATGGTGGCGCGTGCCTGTAATCCCAGCTACTCAGGAGGCTGAGGCAGGAGAATTGTCTGAACCCAGGAGGCAGAGGTTGAGGTGAGCTGAGATCGGGCCATTGTATTCCAGCCTGGGTAACAACAGCGAAACTCCGTCTCAAAAAAAAAAAGAAAAGAAAAGAAAAGAAATACAATATACATAAATAATGGAAGACATATGGAGTGACTGAAAATGACACGTAACAAATAGTCCAATAGGTACCTACCAAGATGGCAATGTTCTTTTTCTCTTGCTTCCCATTTGTGGCTGTCTACATAGGCTGCAGAAAGCAGGCATCTTTTACCTGAAGAAACAGGCAATTATTTCAACATGAATGGCTTTACAACAGGTTCATTTTATATGTTTTATTAAATACATCATTGCTATCCTTTCAACTACTAGATTATATATTTGTAAAAATCTAATACAATACAGCAACCAGTATTGCATAGTTCACAATTCAGTTAAGAACAAAATGCATTCAACCCCTAACAAGTATAAGACGCAGAAAAACAGAATTTTCACAACAATTTTTAAAATAAAAATCAACAGGGTCTTGCTATAAAGCCCAGGCTGGAGTACAGTAGCTATTCACAGGCACAATCCCACTATTGATCAGCAGAGGAATTTTAATGTGCTCTGTTTCCAACCTGGTTTATCCTTCCTGAAGCAGCCTAGTAGTCCCCTGCTCCTAGAAGGTCAGTCACCATCAATGCCAAACTTAATGTGGACACTTGATCAGTATAGTGCACTACAGCCCAGGACTCCTGCACTCAAGGAATCCTCTTGCCTCGGCCTCCCAAGTAGCTAGGACTAAACACACATACCACTGCACTATGCCTATAATTTTATGGATAAAAATGCTGATAATTTTGTTCCTATAACTTTAAGACTAGGAACCACTTGTTCCTAGTAAATTATACCCCAGGCAAGCCCTAGAACACTTTCTTAAAACCAAAAACACCTGCTGATGGTTGCTTAACTCATGAATTAAATACCTTATAATTATTACGCCTAAAAACATTTTCATCTTACATTCGCAGGTTTAACTCATGTCACATAGAGCAAAGAGTAGCATCTTACCCAATGACCCAGTAGCCTAGTGGCAAATAAAAGACACTCACTAAGCCAAAGCTGAGTAACATTCAAGATAGCATACCAGTATTCCTAGCTCCTGGCATAATGCCTAGCCTTTGGCAGCGTTTAACAAACACGAGCTCAAGAAGTGAATGAGAAAGAACGAATGGTGAGTTCATCAAAATTTAAAACTTCTGCTTCAGAGTACAATCTCAGGAAAGTGAAAGTACAACCTAAAGAATGGGAGCAAATATTTGCAAAACATTTATCCAATACAGGACTTGTATCCTAACTATTTCAGTAACTTACAATTCAAAAATAAAAAAGACAAACCAAATAAAAGATGGGTAAAGGATTTAAACAGATATACCTTTAAAATTATATATACAGAGGTGGGGGGGATCACTTAAGCTCAGGAGTTCGAGACCAGCCTGGGAAACATGGTAAAAACCCATTTCTACAAAAAATACAAAAATTAGCCAGGCATGGTGGCATACACATGTAGTCCCAGCTACTTGGGAGGCTGAGGCGGGAGAATTGCTTGAGCCTGGGAGGTGGAGGTTGCAGTGAGTCAAGATCATGCCACTGCACCCCAGGCTGGGCAACAGAGTGAGACTGTTCCAAAAAGAAAAAAAAAAAAAAAATTATATATATATATATATATATATATACATATATATACATATATATACACACACAGCCAAATCACAATGACAGATGCCATAATTTGCCATTAGAGAAATGAAAAACAAAATCACCTATGGAAACGAATGCACTCACTGCAATGACTACCATCAAAAAACTGATAATGACAGCTGCTGGGGAGGATGCAGAGAAACCAGAAACTCATACCTTACTGGAGAGAACACAGAACAGTGCAGCTGCTTTGTAAAGACTTTGGCAGCTCCTCAAAATGTTAACATGGAGTTACTCTATGACCTAGCAATTCGACTTCTAGCTTTACAGCCAAGAAAAGTGAAAACTTGTGTCCACAGAAAATTTGTACACAAATGTTCACAGTAGTATTATTCATAATGGACAAAAAGTGGAAACAACCCAAATATCCATCAACTGATGAACAGATAAACAAAAAGTGGCATATCCTTACAATGGAATAGTATTCACAATAAAAAATGAAGTACTAATACATGCTACAACATGGATGAATCTTGAAAACATAGTAAGTAAAAAAGATGCCAGTCACAAAAGACCAAATATTATATGATTCCATTATATGAACTACCCAGAATAGGCAAGCCTGTAGAGACAGAAGTCGATTCACGGTTGCTTAGGGCTAGAGGTGGGGATCAGGAAAGCTAGAGGGGAAAGGGGGAGCAACTGCAAATGGGCATGGAATTTCTTTTTGGGAGAATGAAAATGTCCTAAAATTGACGATGACAATGGCTGCAGAACTCTGTGTTTCTACTCAAACCTTTGAATTGTATACTTCATTTGTTGTTTTGTTTGTTTTTGAGACAGAGTTTCACTCCTGTTGCCCAGGCTGGAGGGCAATGGTGCGATCTCAGCTCACTGCAACTTCCTCCTCCCAGGTTCAAGGGATTCTCCTGCCTCAGCCTCCGGAGTAGCTGGGATTACAGGCACCTGCCACCATGCCTGGCTAAGGTTTTGTATTTTTAGTAGAAATGGGTAATCCACCAGCCTTGGCCTCCCAAAGAGTTGGGATTACAGGTGTAAGCCACCACGCCCAACCTGAATTGCATATTATATATGGAAGAATTGTTTGGCATGTGAAGTATATCTCAACAACCGCGTTTTAAAAAAACAGAAAAGATGACAGATAATTATGTTGAAGTCACAGCAGACCAAAAGCCCAACATAACTAGATGGCGTGGGGGTGGATTAAACACAATACTGAAATGCTGTTGTTACTCTCTATCTACCTTCCAACTGAAACAAACCAATGCAAACATATCTGTGTGAATTTATATACAGTCCAATCATTCCCTTACTATAAACACAAATCTTTACTAGACTAACATATCTAAATCTGAGTTCTACAAATAAAATAATGAGGCAACAATAAGGTTTCCTAAGACAGTTTCAAAAGGGGAACTAAGACTATAATTATAATTACTTAATTTATTTTTTATATTTTTATATATATATATATATATATATATATATATATATATATTTTTTTTTTTTTTTAGACAGTCTCACTCTGTAGCCCAGGCTGGAGTGTAGTGGTGTGATTTTGCCTCACTGCAACCCCCACCTGCAGGATTCAAGCAATTCTTCTACCCAGCCTGAGCAGCTGGGATTACAGGCGCTCGCCACCACACCCAGCTAAGTTTTGTATTTTTAGTAGAGATGGGGTTACAACACGTTGGCCAGGCTGGTCTCAAATTCTTGACCTGCTCACTTCGGCCTCCCAAAGTGTTGGGATTACAGGCGTGAGCCACCACACCCAACCGGAAAAGACTATAATTATGTAAGTGCCCATATTTCAAATAGAGTGTGATTTTTAAAAAATTAGATGTTTGGAATTTAGAAGGCATTTTCAATAGAAATAATATTATAAATTATTATATTCCTAGATCTACCAGCAAAGATGGATAAAAAGCTGATGGCATTATGTTAGATGTATGGCTGTCCACCAATTCATAGTAAGGATACCTGAGTGTTAACGAGTTTTACTAGCTGTTAAAAAATTTCACATCCTACAGTTGCAAATAAAGCTAAACTAAGTGATATCCTGCATCCCTCTATGCTCTGACAGTCTTAGAACCAAAAGCATCAATTCAGAGAACCCATTTATAACTGATAGTTGCATTTCTACACAAACTGAATTTCAATTTTAAAGCCAGGAGGATCTCTTATTTCTCTGGGGAACAAGAGCAGCCTTCTCTATGTAAGTGTAAGTTGAGGAGAGGTGGTTAAGCTATATATAGTTGTTTCTGGATATCCATAGGGGGATAGTTCTGAGATACCCCCTCAGATACCAAAATCTGAGAATGCAGAAGTCTCTTACATAAAATTGCGTAGTATTTGCAAATAATCCACAAACAGCCTCTTGCATTAAGTCAGGGGTGTCCATTTTTTTGGCTTCGCTGGGTCACATTGGAAGAACAATTGTCTTGGGCCACACGTACATAAAATATACTGACACTAATGATAGCTGATGGGCTAAAAAAATTAAAAATGCTAAAAATCTCATATTTTAGGAAAGTTTACAAATTTGCTTTGGGCTACATTCAAAGCCGTCCTGGGCTGAGGGTTGGACAAGCTGCTTTAAGTCATCTCTGGATTTCTTATAATGCCTAATACAATGTAAATACAATGTACGTGGTTGTAATATTGTATTTTTTTAAATATCTTTGAAAAATATTGTTGTATTGTTATTATTATTAGGGTTTTTTTCCTTTTTAGTATTTTTCATGCGCAGTTGGTTGAATCTGCAGATGCAGAATGCTCGGACAAGGAAGCCAATCGTAATCCTCAATGCCAATGACTTGCTTACTCTCTACTTATTATTAGCTCTTATTCTCTATGCCTTCATTCTAGCACAGGCGTCCCCAAACTATGGCCCACGGGCGGCATGCGGCCCCCTGAGGCCATTTATCCCGCCCCCGCCACACTTCAGGAAGGGGCACCTCTTTCATTGGTGGTCAGTGAGAGAAGCACAGTTATGTGGCGGCCCTCCAACGGTCTGAGGGACAGTGAACTGGCCCCCTGTGTAAAAAGTTTGGGGACGCCTGTTAGCATATGCTTCAGTCTAGCACAAGTAGTCACCCTTCTATATTGTGGAGTCAGAAAGGACAGTACCTAGATCATTGCTCAACAGTTCTGAACTGGAAGATTAAAAAGCCGGGGAGGTGATGGTGAGGAAAGACAGTACTCTCAGAAGGCCTTCTGTGTGCAGTCGTTCATGGAAACCACATGAACGGAAAATAGCTACACAGCTAATTCTTACTAAGGTGGCAAACACTGTGCATAACTTTTCACCAGGTCAACCACTGAATCTTCAGAAAACTGGTGGTCAACTATGAGGTTTCACATTGATGTTTAATGGCTGTTCCTAAAGAAGTGTGAACCTTGCTTTAAAAAAAAAAAAAAAAAATAGGGCATGTGAGGTAGGTTGGAAAGGGAAGATAAAAGGCACCAGAAAAATCGAGTGTGATTATTGCATTTTTATCAAATTATCAAATACATCTGTCTGGATTATGTGGTTAGAATCACTGCCAATTTGGCTTTTGTAAATACTTTAAAACTTTTTGGCCCAGAGCGGTGGCTGACGCCTGCAGTCCCAGCATTTTGGGAGGCTGTGGCAGGCAGATCACCTGAGGTCTGGAGTTCGAGACCAGCCAGACCAACATGGAGAAAACTCTACTAAAAATACAATACTAAAAATACAAAATTAGCTGGGCGTGGTGGCACATGCCTGTAATTCCAGCTACTTGGGAGACTGAAGCAGGAGAATTGCTTGAATCTGGTTGACAGAGGTTGCGGTGAGCTGAGATAGTACCATTGCACTCCAGCCTGGGCAACAAGAGCGAAACTCAGTCTCAAAACAAAACAAATTTTCCCATTGTTTTCATTATCAGATCCAGTATGCAGGCTTTGACTCGGCTGCCATTTCGTTATCAAAGTACTTTACAAGTAACTATTAGCATTTATTGTCTACACGTGAAAAACTAGCAAAGAAAGGTCAATCAAAAGCTGTGCTCAAGGTCATCACATAAAATGATATAAAGTAAGATTAATATTGAAAAATTATTCCACGAAGACCAGGGGTCCAGCTAAATGTGAGGTGGTAGGGGAAAATGCTTATCTAAAGTCCCTCTAAAGAAACCTCAGAAGGGAGAAACACTTCACAGCCTGAGGAATGGACACATTTAAGTTTTTCTTTTTCTTTTTCTTTTTTTTTAAGACAGTGTCTCGCTCTGTTGTCCAGGCTGCAGTGGCCCTATCTCTGCTCACTGTAACCCCCGCCTCCCGAGTTCACGCGATGCTCCTGCTTCAGCCCACCCCCCACTCCGCCCCGAGTAGCTAGGATTACAGGCGCGTGCCACTATGCCCAGATAATTTTTTTGGATTTTTTAGTAGAGATGGGGTTTCGCCATGTTGGCCAGGCTGGTCTCGAACTCCTGGCCTCAAGCGATCCGCCCGCTTCGGACCTCCAAAGTGCTGGGACCACAGGCGTGGGATACTGTGTCCGGCACACATTTGGGTTTTTCGTCGTCAGCAAAAAGACGACCACCCCAACACATAAATCTGGTGAATCATACGCAAATTCCCTCATGCCACAACCTTCCACGGCTCTTCATACCTTTGGAGAGGCACACACTGTTATTTGAGGGGAGGAAACGGATCAGAGACCTTGTCTCCTTCTGCGCTACCAAACACCCCAAATGGCTTCCCTAGCAATCTTTCTCTTCTCTTGAAAACCCTCCGCTCCCTTCACTCAAGAACAGAATAATCAGGGGCCTTAAATGAAGCTGTCCCGCCAACCTGCAGGGAAGAGCTCAGACCGAACCACTTGCCGCGCCAGGAAAATCCCGCGCCGCACCATGGAGGCAGCCATCTTGGAGCGTACCAAAAGGAATGGCCGGGGAGGGGGGGTTAGGACAGAGGAAGGGGCGGGGTTACTCGACCTCTGGGGCGCCCAGAATCCTGTTCGTCGCCTTCGGCGTCAGGACCGACGCTCCGCCTCCTCGCCCCGGTTCCAGCAGTTGGTGTGGTCCGTGGCAGTATGGCTGCTGCACTTCGGCCTTCCTGTGGAGTTCTCCTGCAGGCCCTGCAGATTTCGGTGTATCCCGGGGTGGGAGGCTCCGGCTCTGCGTGCTGCCGCTGCCCTTTCGGAGGTATCGGCGGCCTTAGCCCAGGGAAGGAGGGGCGAGATGGGAGAGAAGGGAGTATTAGGCCCCAGCTAGCATCTCTTTGGAGTTCCTAAGTCACTCACTGACCTGGAGCTCACCCTTGCCATCTAGTTGCACGTGGATTCAGTGGTGACCCCTGCATTGGGGTCGTGGATACCCCCAGTGCCTGCAAATCGAAGAATGGCTGGGGTCTTGACCCTGGGGCTGTAGTACTCAGATGGGGCGACGTTGCTCTTCAGGAACACATGTTTCTTCATTTTTCAAAACTATCCTTTAACATCTCTATGAAAAAAAATAAATTAGAAAATGCTAGTGAGTGACGGTAAAAATATTTAACACTGTCAGGCCTTATTTTAATGTATTTTACATACATTAATTCCTTTTTTGTAGACAACACCCAGCAAGAGAAGTACCATTCGTTTCTCTGTTTACAGAGAAGGAACAAGGTTAAGTAATTTGCCCAAGGTCAGAGGGAAGTGGTAGAGGCGGGATTTGAACACAGCCAACAATAGAGACATGTTCCTAACCACTTCACTGGACTGCCTGTCTGTAAATAAATAGCAATTTTTATTGTTACCTTGTTATTGCAGCTCAGAACTCTTGGTGTATGATTCTTTGGCCAAGCTTCGTCCATTTTATGTCATACACAGCTGAAGATCCTAAAGAAAGGTTGATGTTTCCCAAATCTACTCAGCTGTTACCAGTGATTTCCATGCATCTCAGATGTGTTTCGAGTTCACATCTGAGAGGCCTTAACCCTCATTTCACAGAAGACGAAACTGGGAATTCCACTGGTCACACTGCAGCCTTTTCCACTACACTATGCTTCTCCCTGGATAAACCAAAACTAAATATACCTGTTTTACATTTAAATGTTAGTTATTAGGTTTTTTTTTTTTAATGCCCTTGTTACCCTTTAATTAAATGGCAAATGCCTATTTGTACTTGAAATCCCAACTTCCTGTCAACCAGTCCCCACACGGTTAATCACTAACTTCTTTTGTGCACACAAGTAAAACTTCTTTTGGTGAGGATTTGCATTCGCTGGTAGTCCAGAAATGTTTTTTCCCAGGAGTTACTGTCACCTGTCTAATGAATTATTTATAATAGGTGAAGATAAGATCAGTTAATCAGAGAGTCAAGCTCTACTCATGTTATTTGCTAACTTTTAAAACAGTCAAAATGACTTTACTTTTTTCTTTCTCTGATTTTTAGCTAAAAGATACCTACTTACAGATAACATTGTGAAACTAAAAGAATTTCAGCATAAGAAAGTGGCTGTTGCATGTAATCTTCCTGGCACTAAAGGTAATAGAATCTATTTTGTTAATTCTGTCATCTGTCATTTACGTTTCTCTGTCTTCATCCCTATTCATGTGTCTCCTTCAGTGATTTTATTATGCCTTAGAAAAAGTTGAGACCGTTTATATTTAGTTTCATAGTGTGCTCTTATATTCAGCTCACATCTCACAGTTTGCTGCTACAAAGTTTACAGCTCTCCTCTTATCCCTTTTCTTACAATCCCAGGGAAATACTAAAGCTAGTGCTGCCATTGGTCCTGTCTAGATCTATGCCACTTAAACTATGGTTTGAGGACAAGCAGCGTCAGCATCTGTTGAGTGGTTGATAGAAATGCAGATAGAAAGGCCCCAGTTTGTTCATATGCACAATAAAGTTTAAGAACTTCAGACGATTGGCTTTGAAACTTTTTAATGTAACCTTCAGTGAGAATGCATTTTATCTTGCATCTCAGTACACACATACATATCTATATATAAATGAAATCAAATGAAACAAAACAGTACTGTGTGTGATGGTACTTTTTGATATTTTTCACTCTGCTAGAAGTCAGTAGGATCAAAAATTTCTTAAAAAAAAAAAAAAGAGAGAGAAAACTGACCATCAAACCTAGGATTTCGCTGGGCATCGAGGCTCATGCCTATAACTCCAGCACTTTGGGAGGCAAAGGCAGGAGGATTGCTTGAGCCAAGGAGTTTGAGATCAGCCTGAGCAGCATAGACCCCCATCTCTACAAATTTTTTTAAAAGTTAGCTGGGTGTGGTGGTACATGCCTGTAGTCACAGCTATTCCTGAGGGTGAGGTGGGAGGATTGCTTGAGCTTGGGAGGTCTAAGGTGCAGTGAACCATGATCATACCACTGGACTCCAACCTGGGTGCCAGAGTGAGACCCTGTCTCAAAAAAAAAGAGAAATCTGGGATTTGCTTTGGGAAAAAAAAAAAAACCAAAAAACAAACCCGTGTGTTTGTGGATTGTAGAGTAGAGGAAACATAATTAGCAAAATACTGATAATTATTGAGGCTGGATAATGGCACTTAGGGGTATTATTATACTGTTCTTTCATTTTTGGGGTATGTTTGAAGATTTTTGTTATAAAAAGCTAAAAACACAAGAACACCACCCTAGGTCTTACTACCTTTCAGCACCTGAGAAATCTTGTTTCATTCATTCTCTCCCTCCTGCACAGAGTTTTTCCCAGCACTTTAAACCCATTTATTGTGTTTGGGTGCAGCAGTGGTCCCTGGGAGTTGTGGATGCACCCGTTGATCCCCAGTTATGAACACATCAAGACTTTCTTTTAATAACTCTTGGTGTCCCTGTTGACTTTTTTCATCCATAGACCCAGCTCTCCTTCCTCTCACTGGCAGATGTTTGTGAGCTAATTAACATATTAACATTCTCTTTATTTTGTTTTGTTTTTTTTTAAGAGACAGGGTCCCGCTTTGTAACGTAGGTTGGAGTGCCATCGTAGCTCACTGCAGCCTCAAACTCCTGGATTCAAGCAATCCTCCTGCTTTAGCCTCCTGAGTGACTAGGACTACAGTGCCACCGTGCCTGCCTAATTTTTAGTTTTTTAGAGGCAGGGTCTCACTGTGTTGCCTAGGCTAGTCTCGAACTCCTAGGCTCAAGCTGTCCTCCCTCCTCAGTCTCTTAAAGTACAGGCGTGAGCCACTGCACCCATCCTGATACCTTCTGTCTCCATTTCCTCACAATTCAGTTCTCCAGAAATCAGTGTTCTCTTGCTGCTCCACTAAACATACTGTTATATAACATGACATTTGGGACAAAAAAATAAACCTTTGGAATGTGGGGAATATATTTATCCCCAGGTTAGTAGGCTCAATCTAGATTTCACTTATCTTTTCTTTCTACCACAGGTATTTTAGATCTTTGTGAGGTTTGCAGTTAGGGCTTTATGTCATCCAGTTGCGATTTCCATTTGTCGTAGTCTTCATAAGGTTGTGGCAGTTGTGTACAGGTTTAAAAGGCAATTAATGTAATCATTGCCAATCTGCTCTGTTGTCAGACTGATGCATATAAAATCCTGTCAACCTTTCGTCATTTTGAGATCCCACAGTGGTACTCTGTTGTATACCACACCATTAATGTCCTCATCCCTCTGGCATCCTGGCTGTCTTATAATGGACTCCATCCTTTCTAGAGTTCAGCATGGTTTCTGGTTCATCTATCATGGCTCTTCCCTCCACACCTTTCACTCCCAGTTCTCTTCTGTCACTCATGCAGATTCCCATACCTAGAATGCCTCCCTCCTCCATTTCTCCAACCCAATTCAGCCCTTTTTTTTCCTCATTGGTACTCCTCCACTTTCACCAACCTGGTCTGTCCTGAGTCATAATAGTAAAGGTCGTAGTAGGACCCTTCTGCCCACTCTGAGTTATGCTAGGTATCCTAACAGGACAGAAGAGTCCTATTATGTTTCTAGTCATTCCTGTGTCACCTCCTCCATTATTGTTTTCAGGTAGCTTTGTATAAGTAGAGCTTTTGCCTTTCCAAATAGGCTTTAAGTTCTTTGAGGGCAGGAACTATTCCTTATCCTTCTTACTGTCTCACACACAAAGAAGGATACTTCTGAGTATGATTATATGATACATACTTAAATGTTGATTGATTTGTTTTAAAACACAAGTTACGTCTGTTGAAATTTTGGATTCTTGTTTTTTTGGGTTTTTTTTCCCCTGAGATGGAGTTTCGCTCTGTCACCCAGGCTGGAGTGCGGTAGCACGATCTCGGCTCACTGCCACCTCTGCCTCTCAGGTTCAAATGATTCTCGTGCCTCAGCCTCCCCAGTAGCTGGGATTACATATGTGTGCCATCATGCCTGGCTACTTTTTGTATTTTTGATAGAGAGGGGGTTTTACCATGTTGGCGAGGCTGGTCCCGAACTTGTGACCTCAAGTGACCTGCCCACCTCAGCCTCCTAAAGTGCTGGGATTACAGGCATAAGCCACTGCACCTGGCCTCTTAAGGTTTATTAAGAAGGATTAAGAGGTACAAGATGTAATGTCATCCCTTTGATGACTTTAGACTTTCTAGATTGGAAATCACTTAGAAATATTTAATAGACTAAATCCTCATAGATCTGACAGAAGGAATGAAAATAAGAACAATAATGTTTCTATTTACTGGCAGTCACCCTATGGCAAATGCTTTACATAGATCATCTGAGGTGGCCCCATGAGGAAGGTACCATGATCCTTAATTTACACACGAGGAATCAAGTCTCACAGACAAGGGTCTCCGTCAGAGTGCAAGTGGCCGAGCTTAGATTTCAGCCCAGGTGCTTCCATCTCTGGAGCCTGTAACTATTACGTGGTTCTGCAAATAAAAATGGGAAGATCCACTGCATTATCTCAAACGTAGTGGGTCTTTTCTTGTAAATCGAGAAGAATGCCTCTGCTTCTAGTTCTTGTGTTTTACATGTATTTGTGCCCCTCCTTTCAGCAGCATTCCTTCATAGCTCTGTGCTTTGGAACAAATCTTGTAACTATTTCCTGGCAGCTTCTGATACTGACAACAGTTCTGCCTTCTGGAAAGCAGATGCTTGCTTGGTGCCTGCTTTGCTTTTCACCCCACATTTTGGTGGGAATACAGCCCCTTCTTGATGCCAAGAAGAGGTGCTTCCTTTTGGTTTTTGTCCCCACAGTTGATCAGATACAAAGACAAGGGAGAATGATAGACTGTAATGATGCTGAAATGATTCTGTCACTAAAAAACTGTTTGCTGCTGTTTGGAGGACTGTTTTCCCCCCTGCCCATTGCATAGTACTTGAGCATGCTTTCTAACAGCTGAGTAGAAAGAAACCAAGAGGAATGAAAAAGAGGTAAAGTTGAATCAAATTAAAGAAACATGAGTCATGTGAGTCCACCACTGTGGACAAACCTACCTTCAACTCACATTTTCTTTTTAGTTTTCCTGTGTGGCTCTCTGCCAATTGATGGTTTGAGTGTCTGGCTACATTTTCTTTCTTTTTTCTCATGAGTCACCTGGAGATTCAGTTATTTGAGCCAAGCCTCTGGGACAGTAGTTCTCAAACTTCAGTATACCAGAGGATTACCTAGGGAATCAAAAATGCCAACTCTTGAGCTCTTACCCCAGATATTTTATTTTACAGAGTCTTGAGTGAGCCTGGCCCTGTGCCCATGCCCCAGCTTCCTATGACAGATGCCATCTGCTGACACATTTCTAGAGGAAATTAGCCAGTGATGGCAGCTACGTGTCCTGAGCCCCTCTCAGTGCCCTTTTGCAGTGGGCTGGAGTTGGGCTTCCCCATCTTCCCTAGGTCAGACTCCTTATACTGCCAGTAAGCCTGATTGATGGCCACCATACTATGTTTTCTTCCAGAAAGCTATTTTAGAAACTTGGAAGAGAAACTGACCCAGAACAGGCTCATCTTGAAGGAGGAGTTGATAACCTTACTTCATTTGTGTGAGTCCCGGGACCATGTGGAGCTGGCTAAAAATGTCATTTACAGGTGAGGCATTTCCTTAGAATGCTGCCACCCTCATCCCTTCTTACTCTGTTCCTTTCTGTGAGCAGTCTCATCCTCTTCCAAGATTTTGCCACTTCTACCCTGATGACTTTAAATCTCTTTTTCATATGCCTGCTTTGAATTCAAGACACTTAGACATTCACTCATTGAGCACACACTTACTGGGTTCCTACTATATGCTGGGTGTTAAGGATAGAAAAGCAGATATTTTATGTCTAAAGAAGTTACCAGCCTATTCACTAACTCCACTGACATATCCCCTGGGTCTTCAAATTCAACATGTGCAAATTCACTCCTCTTCCTCTGTTTTCCTTCTCACTGGCCAGTCACTCAGGATAGATATTTTGCAGCCTCTTTACTTTCATCTCATTTGCCTCTGTTTCCTGATAGGGTAAGAAATCCTGTTGCTTCCACTTCCTTGGTATCTCCCTCAGCTCCAGCCCTCCTCTTTCTCTCCTGTTACCAGTGTCTTAGTTCAGGCTTTAATGTCTTTCACCTGAATCTTTTCGGTGACCCTAACTATTCTCCCTCCTCCAGTCCTGCTATACCTTTCTGATCCATTATTAAAAGTTTCCCATGTCAGAAGAAACTCACACGTAAGCATAGCCTGCCACTGGGAAAGCTAGTAAAGGCTTCACTTACCAGGGAGGAGCATGACATCAAATCAACAGACTTCATTTCTGAAATTAAGTTAATTGCTCTTTTCAACTTTTTTTTTTTTTTTTTTTTTTTGAGACGGAGTTTCGCTCTTGTTACCCAGGCTGGAGTGCAATGGCGCGATCTTGGCTCACCGCAACCTCCGCCTCCTGGGCTCAGGCCATTCTCCTGCCTCAGCCTCCTGAGTAGCTGGGATTATAGGCACGCGCCACCATGCCCAGCTAATTTTTTATATTTTTAGTAGAGACGGGGTTTCACCATGTTGACCAGGATGGTCTCGATCTCTCGACCTCGTGATCCACCCGCCTCGGCCTCCCAAAGTGCTGGGATTACAGGCTTGAGCCACCGCGCCCGGCCTTTTCCACTTTTTAAAAACTATTTTCTTTTTCTTTCTTTTTTTTTTTTTGAGATGAAGTCTTGATCTGTTGCCCAGGCTGGAGTACAATTGCATGATCTCTCAGCTCACTGCAACCTCCACCTCCAGGTTCAAGCAATCCTCCCTGTCTCAGCCTCCCAAGTAGCTGGAATTATAGGTGCCTGCCACCATGCCTGGCTAATTTTCGTATTTTTAGTAGACATAGGGTTTTGCCATGTTGGCCAGGCTGGTCATGAACTCCTGGACTCAAGTGATCCGCCTGCCTCCGCCTCCCAGAGTGCTAAGATTACAGGCATGAGCCACCGTGCCTAGCCCTCTTTTCTGTTTTTTAAAGATCTGTTTCTATACTTGAACCTGGATTTTATATGTACATTTATAGAGAGAAATACAGGATAATCATACAAAGAATACTAGGAGATTATATAACAAGAGTTAACTGTTCTCTGGGAATTATGGATTATGTATTTTTTGTTTGTCTAAATGTATATTTTTCTGATTTCTCAAACTTGTCTACAGTGAACATTTTATAACATGAAAAAAATGTCTTTAAGTTAAAAAAAAAGAAAATTAAAAAATTCATTGAAAAATTGAAAAACACCATTAAGTAGAAAGGAGAAATATATCACAAATTCTGCTGTTTCAGTTGTCTGTTGCTGCATAACAAACCACACCAGAACTTCGTGGCTTAACACAGCAACTGTTTATTAATTCTCATAATTCTGGCATCAGGAATTGAGGTCCATCTCCACTGAGCAGTTCTTTGTTGGTGTCAGATGAAGCCACTCACTTATCTGCAGTCAGCTGGTAGCTGGGCTGTACTGCATGGTCCAAGAAGGCCTCTCTTGAGTTTGTGATGCCTCATTGCCCCTCCATGTGGCCGCTCCCTATCTTTCTGGAGTGCCTCATCATTCGTTTGTTGGTTTGAGCTGCATTGGCCCACAGCCCAGATGGGAGCTGCCAGGCATGACAGAGTTGCCCAGAATTGGCATGGCTTCTCTTGGTCAAGGCAAGATAACCTGTCCAGATCCAAGTAAAGGGGAGGGGAAAAGGATTCTACCTCTGGATTAATTTGAAGAATTGATGACAGCCATCTTTGGAGCCTGCTGCTTACATCTAAGAAACCACCGTTGAGATTTTTGCATTTTTTTTTTCACTGTTGCAAAGATTTCATTATTTTGATAGATTTTATTTTACATTGTTATAATTATTTCTGTGTAATTATTTTCTAAATTAATATAAATTTTTTTCCTTGTTAATCATATCCTTAGGAGTCATAGTTTAATGGCAATACAGTATTTCATTGTACATTGGATATTTTCATTAACCATGCTCATGTTGTTGGACATTGAAGTTATTTCTAATTTTTCACCAGTGTAAATAATGTCATGATGAGAAACTCTCTGCATAAAACTTACTGTTTGTTTCCTTTTGGGGATCAGGGGGTATGAACTTTTTAAAAATTTATCAATATAACTGTCAGATTATTTTTCAAAAGCGTTATGCTAATTTAAAGTCACTATATCTGCAAACTTAATTCTGTATTTCAGTTTCACAAAGTTAAATCATTTCCCTCTGGCATGTTTTCTTCTCACATATTTTACTACACAAAGCTATTTGGTGTTTATAAGAGTAGTAAAATGAGATAAATAATCTGAACACTCTTTCTACTTCTATTTTTATCATAAATATTCAAAGTGTGACTCAGTTCCTTCACTGATGCTAATAACTCTCTACCCAGTTGCTGACCTTTCCCTCTCTACTTGCAGACAGCTGGACAGGATGGGTAGATCCACGACTCAACCATCATGTTCTCTTTCTTCCTCAGTCAGGCAGCTCACGGCTGGGAAAGGAGAGTCATGAGCTGAAACATAAGCTTTTTATTGAGCCAAAAATGGGAAACATCTTAATACCCTTATTGTGTTGACCAAATGCTGTTTGGTTTATTGAGGGATTTTAGATCCTCTTCAACATTTCTTGCCCAGAAGGCAATTCATTATCTCAGTGACTTTCTAGCACTTCTATTAATGTGAATGTCATTTAGAATGTTCACGTCAAATCAGAAAACTTGTTTTTGCTTTCTTTTGCTTTTAATCTGGCACAAGTTTCTCATGAGAATATTTACTGAAATATGTTGATTTTTAAAGATTTTTTTTTAGCATGCCTTACATTTTATAAGAGCTAACATATGTTGAAGACTTGTGTGCCAGGCACGTCATCTCATTTAATCTTCACACACACACACACACACACACACACACAAAACTGATTGGGTTCTTTTCTTCCTTCCGTTTTACAGATGAGGAGACAGGGGCAGAGAGTAGTTAATTAACTTGCTTATGGTCACACGGTTTATAAACAGAAGAGCTAGGATTTGAATGATCAGTTTGGATTCAGAGTCTCAAAACCCTTTACCACTATCCTATATTGCCTTCTAACAACTTAATTTATGAGTGTTATAATGAAGTGGTAAATATTATTTGTAAGTTCTGTAAGTGGATTATGAAATGTATCAAAGTATACATCATCATCCTATTAGGGTATCATTGTAGTGCATGTGTTTAGAATAGACTAGTGTAATGCTACTCTGATTCCTTGATGATTTTAGCAGAAGGTAAAAAGCATTCTGTTTTGTTGTCAGCACTTTTCCACAAGGTATTTTAGATTCATTCATCATATTATAATCTAAATCTAAAAGGAATATGAATATGAAGATTTATAATGAGTACATCTTTCTAAAATCTGATTTACATGTAATAAAGTGTTCCTTTTTTTCACATATTGTCCTCTTGATATCTATAGCAAAAAGAGTTGGTTATTGAAAGTAAATTTACAGTAGCGATACGCAGTTCTGACTGGCAGGCTGGCTGCCTGTAGAAGTCTCAAGCCACATAGAAGACATCATTGTCTTTGACATTAGCTTCTTTTTAAAAGTTACAGGCCAAGTGTCATGGTTCACCCCTGTAATCCCAGCACTTTGGGAGGCCAAGGTGGGCAGATCACAAGGTCAGGAGTTCAAGACCAGCCTGGCCAACACGGTGAAACCCTGTCTCTACTAAAAATAGAAAACTTAGCTTGGCATGGTGGCATGTGCCTGTAATCCCAGCTACTCAGGAGACAGAGGCAGGAGAATTGCCTGAAGTGGGATCCATAGGCAGGGGTTGCCGTCAGCCAAGATTGTGCTACTGCATTCCAGTCTGAGCTACAGAGCAAGACTCCATCTCAAAGAAAAAAAAAAAGAAAAGAAAAGAAAGAAAAAGAAACTTAAACGTTCAAAACCACATTTAACTTGTTTAGCCAGGTGAACGTAGCTCTTGTGTACCTTTCCCAAACTTAGAAAAGCAGAGAGATTGCCATAAATTGTAAATGTGTCTGTTGGTTGTTTGCCATCCTAAATAAGGATGAAGCCAGCCTCCAGGAGCGTAGAGCGTCACCCCACTCCTTTCCTTTGTTCTCTGGGTGGGGCCTATTCTGATGCACTTACAGATGCTACTAGACTCCTGCTTTTTCCTAAGATGTGCTCACACTCAGTCTCAGGGTTGTTTTTAAATTTAGAGAATGATTACAATGTACATTTTCCCTCTGTTTCTTGTATTTTATGTCAGCCTGCTATAAACTCTTGTTTATTTAAATGCTTGGTATACTTCTGCACTCCAGGATTTCTGATTGTTGGAAATCACTTCTCCCCGTCCAGACTGTGAGAGAACCTCATTCTCTCTTGTGTCCCAGCGCATGCCGCAGTGTCTGTCCTTTTTCCTGTTTCCTACCTTTTGGCTCATTGAATCGTTTTGATTACCAGGTACCATGCAGAGAACAGAAATATCACTGTGGGGGAGTATAAGTTCGGACCACTTTTCATGAGGCTGTGTTACGAGTTGGATCTTGAGGAATCTGCAGTGGAGCTCATGAAAGACCAGGTTATTGTTTCCTAATTGTTTTCTGTGCCAATGTGTGTATTTTTGGTGATACTGGAAAAGGCATCTCTTCCATGCACATTATTCCTGGATTAGATTTTCAAAGAAAGGCTGCTGGGCTGAATGAATAAGCACTTCTTTGCATTTTTTAGTTTCCTTGCAGTCAGTTTTTGTGAAGAGGGGTGGAGTGATATAGAACAAGTGTGGAAGAGGTATAGGCACAGATGATCCTACTTTGGATGTGTATCAACATGGGTTGTATACCTATTCTTTCAAGGGCTTTCAGTAGAGAAAAGCTTAACACCGCCTCCATTTAAAGACTGACATTCCTATCCTTTACCTGTGTTCCCTCTTTATTTTCTATTTGTATTTTTCTGGTTGAAGACTACATTTGGAAAGTACTTTTCCATTTTCAAAATATTTTCACATATTCTGACTTTCTTTTCCCTAAAACAAATGTAAAAAATTTTTACAGCTACTCATTGAATATTTACTATGTTTTCAGCATTGTATTTAAGTACTTAAAATGTTTCATTTTATTTGTTTCCCACAATAGTCCTGATGAGGTACATTTCCATTTTGCAGATAAAAAAACTGGGACCTAGAGACATTATAAATTCATTCATTCATTCATTATAAAGTCATTTTGATTACCAGATACCATGCAGAGAACAGAAACATCAGTTTGGGGAATTGTAAGCTTAGACCGCTTTTCGTGAGGTTGCAGTTCCCATAATCAGAAATAATTGCTAAATTTTGGGCCCGCGGCTGGTGACCAGGTGCATTTTTGTGTATTTAGGAACTTATAAGCTGAGTTGTTCTTCAGCTTCTTACACTTTCTTTTAAAAAATAAAAATGAAAAAATATTTACTTAGAAGCATTTAGACCAGGCGTCCCCAAACTTTTTACACAAGGGGCCAGTTCACTGTCCCTCAGACTGTTGGAGGGCTGCCACATACTGTGCTCCTCTCACTGACCACCAATGAAAGAGGTGCCCCTTCCTGAAGTGCGGCGGGAGGCCGGATAAATGGCCTCAAGGGGCCGCAGTTTGGGGACGCCTGATTTAGAATGTCAACAAAACAGCTGCAACTTTTTTTTTTTTTTTTGCAATTACAGAATGACAGTTAACAGAACAATTATTTCATATAAGCTGCATCAGACTGAAGATGACAAAACTACTATCCCCATGTATAACTAATTTGTGCTGTGCACCAACAACAGCCTGCTTTAAATTTCCATGCCAGTTTGCAGCCACCATACTATACCAGGCAAGGTTAGTGGCTATCGAAAATACCGTCAGGACAGGGCTATCTAAAGACATTCAGTAGCGTGTTAACTATACCAAAAAAAGACACTGTACAGTTTTAAAACAAATCTTAACACAGCCTTACATTTCAATTTTCTTCTTTAAAAAGAGTGAGTTGTGTGCAGGAGGGTTAGATGCTTTAAAGACAAGAAAAAAACTGCACTAGTACCAACTTACTCATTATCATCTTCATCTTCCTCTTCATCCTCTTCATCTTCTTGTTTTCCTCCTCTTCCTCCTTTTTCTTACTTTTTTCAGCCTTGACAGCTCCCTTTTTGGCTGCATCAGGCTTTCCTTTAGCTTGATACAAAGCAATATCCTTTTCATATTTTTCCTTCAGCTCCACAGCCTTCTTTTCATAAGGCTGCTTGTCACCTGCAACAGTGTCATTCCACGTCTCCCCCAGTTTCTTTGCAACATCACCCATGGACAGGCCAGGATGTTCTCCTTTGATTTTTGGGTGATACTCAGAGCACAGCAGGAAAAAGGCTGAAGGAGGCCTCCTGGGTGTGTTGGGATCCTTGAACTTCTTTTGTCTCCTCTTTAGGAAGGATATAGGTTTTCATTTCTCTTTCATAACAGGCCTTGCTGCCTTTGCCATATCTGCATATTTTCCTTTCTTTTTAGCAGTCATGAACTTCTACCTTTCTGATCCCTTCTTAGAAAAGGAAGGAGTGAGGAATTGACTGAAGCATCTGGGTGCTTCTTAAGCTTCTCGCAACAAGTTTGCACAAAAAATGCATATAATGACATTTTGCCTGTCAACTTCTTAGGATCTCCTTTGCCCATGTTTAGTTATTTTTCCTCAGTGAGGCACAGAGTCACCCAGTGCCCATCTGGCTCTCACTTGCCCCAGCACTGTCTCTGTGGAGCTGAATGTACTTCAGTCTCTTACTCTTTTTTTATACAAAGTGTTTTCTGTACATGGTGGGTGTGTTAACTCTAGGCTTGCCCCTCTTTAATGACACCTGTGTATTAGAAAGATGATCAAGATATATTAGTAAGCAGGGAAAAGATAGTCTCAGAACAGTACAGATAGTTTGATCCTGTTTTTTCCTTAAAAAAAAAATAGACACGTATCAACATTTTAACAAAATATAGATACATATATGCTGGAAAGATATACACTAAATCACTTTATCTTTAGGGAGTACAGTTATTAAAAATTCTCACTTTTTATTTTGTATGTTTTTGTATTATTTGACTATAAACATAATGTTGCAGTTAAAGGAAAACAAGTTTCCCGCTGTAATAAATCATAGCCATGACTATGATGATAAAAACAAAACTGTAAAAGAAAGATGAAAGCAAAGGGTTTTTTTTAGCCTACTTGTGTATGAAAAATTTGTGTATAAGTAAGTTTTCTGGAGTAGAATGAACAAATTTGAGTAAGTGACAGAGGACCTAATCCTGCTTCTACTAGAAGTGTTATATTCCCTACTTAAAACCCTGTAGTGTTGTCAACATGGTAGCCATATGAGTCATTGAACTATGGCTAAGTCAACTTTACATGCGCTGTATAAAGTGTATGATTTAGTTTAATTACTTGGTATAAGAAAGAGAATGCAGGCTGAGCATGGTGGCTCACGCATGTAATACCAGCACCTGGGGAGGCCAAGGAGGGCAGATCATCTGAGGTTGGGAGATAGAGACCAGCCAGACCAACCTGTCTCTACTAAAAATACAAAATTAGCTGGGCGTCGTGGTTCATGCCTGTAATCCCAGCTACTCAGAGGCTGAGGCAGAAAAATTGCTTGAACCTGGAAGGCGGAGGTTGCAGTGAGCTGAGACCACGCCATTGCACTCCAGCCTGGGTGGGCAACAAGAGTGAAACTCTGTCTCAAAAAAAAAAAAAAAAAAAAAGAATCCAATGTATTTTAATAATTTTTATATTGATTACATGTTGAAATTACATCTTGGATATAGTGGGTTAAATTATTTAGTCTATTTCTGTTTACCTTTTTTTGTTGTTAACTATATATATATATATATATATATATATATATATATATATATATATATTTATTGCACTTTAGGTTCTGGGGTACATGTTCAGAAGATGCAGAATTGTTGCATAGGTACCTACATGGCAATGTGGTTTGCTACCTCCATCCCCCCATCACCTACATCTGGCATTTCTGCCCATGTTATCCCTCCCCAACCTCCCTACCCTCCTCAGTCCCCCCACAACAGATCCCAGTTTGTGATGCTCCCCTACCTGTGTCCATGTGATCTCATTGTTTAACACCTGCCTATGAGTGAGAACATGCAGTGTTTGATTTTCTGTTCTTGTGTCAGTTTGCTGAGAGTGATGGTTTCCAGATTCATCCGTGTCCCTACAAAGGACATGAACTCATCGTTTTTTATGGCTGTGTAGTATTCCATGGTGTATATGTGCCACATTTTCCTTGTCCACTCTATCATCGATGGGCATTTGGGTTGGTCCCAGGTCTTTGCTATTGTAAACTGTGCCACAGTGAACATATGTGCGCATGTGTCCTTATAATAGAATGATTTATAATTCTTTGGATATATACCCAGTAATGGGATTGCTGAGTCAAATGGAATTTCTATTTCTAGGTCCTTGAGGAATCGCCACACTGTCTTCCACAATGGTTGAACTAATTTACCCTCCCACCAACAGTATAAAAGTGTTCCTGTTTTTCCACATCCTCTCCAGCATCTGTTGTCTCCAGATTTTTTAGTGATCACCATTCTAACTGGTGTGAGATGGTATCTTAGTGTGGTTTTGATTTGCATTTCTCTAATGACCAGTGATGAGCATTTTTTCATGTTTGATGGCCTTATAAATGTCTTCCTTTGAAAAGTGTCTGTTCATATCCTTCACCCACTGTTGAATGGGTTTGTTTGTTTTTTTTTTCTTGTGAACCTGTTTTCATTCCTTGTAGATTCTGGATATTTGCCCTTTGTCAGATGGGTAGATTGCAAAAATTTTTTCCCATTCTGTTGGTTGCCGGTTCACTCTAATGATGGTTTCCTTTGCTGTACAGAAGCTCTGGAGTTTAATTAGATCCCATTTGTCTATTTTTGCTTTTGTTGCCAACGATTTTGGTGTTTTAGTCATGAAGTCGTTGCCTATGCCTATGTCCTGGATGGTTTTGCCTAGGTTTTCTTCAAGGATTTTTACAGTGTTAGGTCTTATGTTTAAGCCTTTAATCCAGGCGTCCCCAAACTTTTTACACAGGGGGCCAGTTCACTGTCCCTCAACCGTTGGAGGGCCGCCACATACTGTGCTCCTCTCACTGACCACCAATGAAAGAGGTGCCCCTTACTGAAGTGCGGTGGGGGGCTGGATAAATGGCCTCAGGGGGCCGAATGCGGCTGTGGGCCGTAGTTTGGGGATGCCTGCTTTAATCCATCTGGAGTTAATTTTAGTGTAAGGTGTCAGGAAGGGGTACAGTTTCTACTTTCTGCACATGGCTAGCCAGTCTTCCCAAGGCCATTTATTAAACAGGGAATCCTTTCCCCATTGCTCGTTTTTGTCAGGTTTGTCAAAGATCAGATGGTTGTAGATGTGTGGCATGGCCTCCGAGGCCTCTGTTCTGTTCCATTGGTCTATATCTCTGTTTTGGTACCAGTACCATGTTGTTTTGATTATTGTAGCTGTGTAGTATAGTTTGAAGTCAGGTAGCATGATGCCTCCAGCTTTGTTCTTTTTGCTTAGAATTGTCTTGGC